AGACGCCCCAGGAAGCCACCAGGAACACCCCCAAGAGGGCTCCAAGAGGAAAAAGCAGTGGTCTTCTAAGATTTTTTGCAGCATTTCGGCGTTCTCGCCTCTTCCGCTTCCCGACGCTCCAGGACGACCCAAGAGGCCCCCCAGATCGACCCAAGACGGCCCAAGAAGCATCTAGGGGGGACCCAAAACGGTCCAAGAAGGCCCCAAGACGGCCCAAGACGCCTCCAAGACAGCCCAAGGGGCCCCCAAGACGGCTCCAAGAGGGTGCCAGACGAGAGACCAGAACAGACATTTCGAGCCATCGGCCCCGAGAGGCTCCCAGGAGGCACTTAGAGGCCCCCAAGAGGCCCCCAAGAGGCCGAGATGCCCCCAAGAGGCTCCGAAGAGTCCCCCAAGAGGCTCCCAAGAGGCCCCTAAACTGTCCCCCAGAGGCCCCCGTAGAGCTTCGAAGAACCCCCAAGAAGCATCCATGAGGACTCTGTTCCACATCAGCGTCGTCGTCGTCGCCGCCGCGGTTGTCGTCGTTCCCCTTCAAGGTCGGCGGCACAGGCCGTAAGGCCTTCGCAATCTGACAGGGAATACGTGCGCTAGACAAGAACCTGGTGGAGCATGTTACGACTTTGGGTAAATCGAAGTTGGGATGTCGCAGAGGAAAACGGCTTTCTCTGTGAGTTTAACGGGATGGGACGGGTCCACCCATCCAAACCAGATCACGAAAGCAACGTGGGCGATGGTGCGCGAACAGGACGGGCCACACGAGACACAAATATCTACACAGAGTCGCCGAAACGACAAGAGATCGAAACCTGAATATGATTTCAAGTATAAGTGAAAAGAGCATCTGAGGTCTGTCGAAACCAAGCAAGGTGGTAATAACCAAACTCGTAGTTATTAGTTACACTACTGACGGTAGTACTTGTAGTCGCACTCGTAGTCGCAATGAAACTTATACAGATGTTGTAATCGTAGTCGTACGGGGTCGTAGTAGTAGTTAGACTAACAGTAGAAGTAGCCGTGGTAGTAGTAGTAGTAGCAGTAGTAGTCGTTGTTGTAGTCGTAGTAGTAGTAGTAGTAGTAGTAGTAGTAGTAGTAGTAGTAGTAGTAGTAGCAGCAGTAGTAGTAGTAGTAGTAGTAGTAGTAGTTGCTGTTGTTGTAGTAGTTGTAGCAGTAGTAGTAGTAGTAGTAATCGTAGTAGTAGTAGTAGTAGTAGGAATAGTACGAATAGTAGTAGTAGTAGTAGTAGTAGTAGTCGCAGTCGTAGTAGTAGTAGTAGTAGTGGTGGTGGTGGTGGTAGTAGCAGTAGTAGTAGTAGTATTACTTGTTGTTGCTGTAGTTGTCGTGGTAGTAGTGGTCGTAGTCGTTGTAGTAAAGAAGAGTAACAGTGATAGTAGTAGTGGTAGTAGTAGTAGTAGTAGAAGTAGTGGTAGTAGTAGTAGTAGTAGTAGTAGTAGTAGTAGTAGTAGTAGTACTAGTAGTACTAGTAGTACTACTTGTAGTAGTGGTAGTAGTGGTAGCCCTTCTAACAATAGTACTAGTAATCATAGTAGTAGTCGTAGTCGAAGAATCAATGCTACCAGTATCAATCCTAGTCGTAGTGATGGCGATAATATTCGTAGTAATCCTAGCCGTAGTAGTAGTAGCGGTTGTAGTGCAGGTAATAGTCGTAGTTGTATGAGGTCAACGTAGTACCCGTAGTCGTCGTCGTAGTAGCAGCAATAACAGCAAGATGGGTAGTCGTCGTCGTCGTAGCAGTAGTAGTCGTTCCAGTGGTAGTCGTAGTCGTAGTCGTAGTCGTAGCCGTAGTAGTAGTAGTAGTAGTAGTAGTAGTAGTAGTAGTGGTAGTAGTAGTAGTAGTAGTAGTAGTATGAGTAGTAGTAGTAGTAGGAGTAGTCGTAGTAGTAGTAGTAGTAGTAGTAGTAGTAGTGGTAGTAGTAGTAGTAGTAGTAGTGGTAGTAGTAGTAGTAGTAGTAGTAGCCGTAGTCGTAGTAGTAGAAACAATAGTGGACAGAGCAGTGGTGGTGGCAACTACTGCAACCGCTACTCTCATTAGTACTAACACTACCACCCATACTATTCGTATGGATACGACTCGTACTGCTACGACTACTACTATAGTTGTAGTCGTAGTAACCGTACTAGTAGTAGTAGTTGTGGCAGTAGCAATCGTGATTCAAGACGTAATCGTGTTAGTGATCACAGTAGTGGTAGCAGGGGTAGTAGTAGTCGTAGTGCACAGGCAACAATAGTAGTAGTGGGAAGAATCATAGTAGTAGTAGTCGTCGCCGGAGTAGTCATAATCGTAATGCTAATGGTAATACGAATAAAGGTAGTAATAGTAGTAGTGGTAGTAGTAGTAGTAGTAGTAGTAGTAGTAGCAGTAGTAGTAGGCGTAGTAGTAATACTAATCATACTAATAATCGTCGCCGTCGTGATGGTATAACCCCGTAGTAGCCGTTGTAAGAATGTAGTGGTAGTAGTAGTAGTAGTAGTGGTGGTAGTA